TGGTTGGATTTGCCACAAGCATGACATGTTGCGCCATAGGCCGGACACTGTCGTGGAAGGTGAGATTTTCCACACTTTTTGCAAGTGAATGTTACTGTTTTTTGCTGTTGAAATGACTTTCTTTCAAATATTTTGTTCTGTTTTACATCTTTTGTCTTCTTCTTAATGGCGTGAACAGTTTTACTCTGCTCCCCCATTGCTTGAATCTGTGTTTTTGCTGCCTCTGCCGCTCTGCATATGTCCACAGTTTTTTCAAGGGTCAAGTTTGTTTCTCTTAGTAGCCTCTCCTTTAAACGCTGATCACTGATACTGAACACAATCTTGTCTCTTATCATGTCAGATTCTGTTGAGCCAAACTCACAGTCCTTACTCTTTTGTTTTAGTTCTGTGACATACTTATCGATGTTAATCGCATCAAGCATGGGGTAAGCCCAGAACTGGTGCCTTTCGAAAACAATGTTCTTTCTTGGTAAGCAATACTTCTCCATTGCAGTTACTATATCTTGCATTGTTTCATTTTCCCCTTCTAGCTCAACAGACAGTGAGTTATATACTTCTAATGCCTCCTCTCCTAAAGCATGAAGCAGAATGGCAATCTTTACCTTTTCAGTTTTTGAGTCTGATCCTGTAGCAGTCATATAAATGTTGAACCGCTGTATCCATCTTCTCCAGTTTTCACCTGTATTGCCAGACAGGACTAATGGAGGTGGTAATCTGAACTGATCCATGTTTGTTTTTCACTATGGCAGACTTACTTTAGTCAGGATGAGTTCACGTTCTTCATCAATTTGCTGTCAACTGCAGGCTTGAGTCCGTAAAACAACTCTCTTCTGACACCATGTAGTGTTTCCTCCTTGTGCTGTGTGTTATATAGACAGCTTACACGGAGAGGTATAATTCAGAAACACATTTATTAACAGAACACGAGTAACTCCCACGTTTAATTATCACATGCACTTCAGTCTCACTCACTGACTCTTCAGCACCCCCGAAGTTAAACCAAGGTGGCCCTCTAGTGGAGTGAATACGCAATTACATTATAAGGGCATATAACAGTACACCACACAGCACATTTAAGAATTTAAATAAAGCATTGGTGTTAAAGAATGATTAATATATTTATATTACATGATTCATGTTCATTCCTCCATATGCAATTATTAAAAATATTCTATTTAAATATATATTTTAAAATGTAATTTTTCCATCTGCAACCCAACACTGGGAAGCACCCATACACACACACTCATGCACTACGGCCAGTTTAGTTGATCAGTTCCCCTATAGCGCATGTGTTTGGACTGTGGGGGTAACCGGAGCGCCCAGAGGAAACCCACGCCAACACGGGGAGAACATGCAAACTCCACACAGAAACACCAACTGACCCTGCCGAGGCTTGAACCAGTGATTTTCATGCTGTGAGGTCAGTGTGACACCACCGCGCCACCAGCATTTATACACTACTACACCATTCAGAAGCTTAGAGTCAGTATCACTTATTCAATATTTGGTAAAGATTGTAATATTTTATTCTTCCTGGATGCTTTAATGACTTCAGAATTACTATTATATGCAGTTGAGGTCAATTATTTCTGCTTTTTCCAGTATTTCCCAAATGATGTTGAACAGATTCAGGAATTTTTCACAGTATTTCCTTTACAGTTTTTCTTAGTTGTTTACACACAATTACTTGTACTACAGACACAGTTTCTACAACATGTAACTAGGGATGTAACAATATTGTAAATTCCGTCATACCGCAATAGTAATTGTTTTCAATATTAGCGTAGGCGCATGACTCAATAAAACTACATTTCTGAGAAAAGTTTGCTCAGGCGAATGAAGTGAACGGGAGGTAGCGGGAACTACAGTTCCCATCAGCCCAGGCGTGGCCATCATGCTTTGCGGTCTGCTGTCGCTACAGATCCAGTAATGCAGAAATGGAGTGTGCTGCAGGGAAGAACAAGAGCTGGAGATGATCAAACCTAAAGCGGGGTTTAAAGCAGATGTGTGGAAGCATTTCGGTTTCTCTCTAAAAAGATACGAAAAAGGAGAAAAGGTGACAAGGACAAAAACAGTATGCAGGCACTGCCAGACTGTGGTGAAATATAAGTCAGGGATCACGACTAATAACAGTCATGGGGACTGCAGAACACAGCACACTTGTTAGATTGATGCAGACATTGACTTGTACCGTACAGAGACCTCTATCTCACTCATGACTTGTCCTCTCAAGTGGGGGAAAGACAATGCAGACCGTTACCCACTGCTGTCAACCTTGGCTAAATCATATCTCTCTGTCTCAGAAACCTCAGTCCCAAATGGGAGGGGTTTATTTTCTGTTGCAGGGGACATGCCCAGACATCCCAGCTTTCACCAGATTATAGTTATATGATCATTTTCCTTAAAAACCCATCTCTATCTGAGTGAGTGAGTGATTAAATGTTGAATGTGATGAGTTTTCAACAAAACTAAATTGAAACTTTATTTTTTTACATGGTTTTATAGTTTTTTGTTATTAAAATTGAAAAATTGAAGTTCCTGTTTGGAAGCTTACAGATAGATGGCTGATTTGTGTCATTGATATGTTCAGTGCTAACGTAAATAAACACTTTTGGCACTTTTTTCGAGTCTTTTCATTAGTTTTGTTTTTCCTGTAAATTATTCAATAAACTGTACCGTTACATTCATACCGAGGTATTACCATACCGTGAAATTCTGATACCGTCACATCCCTACATGTAACTGATGTGCACCAACCCCCTGAACCAATTCTGCTAAACTACAAGCACAATTCCTGCTTTACACTCAAATTGCAGATTTAAATCACTTTTTTCAAAACACAACACACAATTCTCTGCATTTTACACAGTTTTCATGCGGAAAATCTCTTGTTTTCACAAGGAACACACTGTCATTCACAATTGTAAAGTCAGTTGTCCTACTCAGCATACTAACTCATCACATGAGTAAACAGCTGTCTGTCACACAGAATTGTAATTTAGAAATCAGAGCTCATCTGGTTCGTAACTGGTTCACTGCCCACACATGTTTTTAGTGGTTTATCTCCCTCCATATTCTCCATTCCTCAAACCTGTTGAAGATTTTTTTTTTCTGCCTGGAGATGTAAAGTGTGTGACCGAAATCCACACACACACACACACACACACACACACACACATGTATACCCTTCTCCAAGCTATAGCAGTTGATGCTTCTCATGGCTGGATTCGCCATGCGAGGTGACGATTACCTTGCTACTTGGCCAGAACAAAACAGAAAAGAGGATGCAGTATAGCTGCTTTTATTTTATTTTATTTCTTGACTGTAACTGTATTCAGTAAATACTTCTGTTGAAGGTATGTGGACCATGTTATGTGCAACTTTGTGTTGGTTGGGATGAACACTGTGTACACAGTTTTTGTGGGGAAAATACAGTCAAATGTATTTGGTATTTGTTTGTTTTGTATAAAACAATATTCTGTAATATTTTAGTGCACTTATGAAGGCTTATGTATGTCTGTAGTAAGTGTAACACTGAACAGAATAAGGCTGACAGTAGGTCATTATGATGAATGGAGAAGAAGTGTTCATAGTGTTTTACATTCAGCACATCAGTGTGCAACTGTTCTTATAAATGTCTATTGATGTGATGGCTTGTGTGTCATTTGTAAACAAAATGCCATTTTGAGAAGAAATCACACTGTTTTGAACGTAGAGTTTCATTTTGCAGAAGAATTGAAGAGTTTTGTCCAATGTGTGTGTGTGTGTTTTGTGGTTTGTGTGTAGAGATCTGACAATATGAGACCTGCTTACAGAAAATGTGTGTGAACAATTGGAAAAAACAGTAATATTTGTTCTTCTGCAGAAAGTCTTATTTGTTTTATTTTTATAAAAGCCATTTTAAGCTCAATATTAATCACCCCTTCAGCAATATTAGTGTTGGATTGTCTCCAGAACAAACCACAGTTATACAATGACTTGCCTAATTACCCTGACTTTACCCTGATTACCCTAGTGAAGCCTTTACATGTCTCTTTAAGCTGAACACTAGTGTCTTGAAGAACATCTAGACTAATAATTTGCATTGTGTAAAGTGTTTAACATGTGGTCGATATATCAATTATTACTAGATTGAATATACAGAAATGGTTACAAGTACTTTGATACATACACTCACCGGCCACTTTATTACGTACACCTGTCCAACTGCTCATTAATGCAAATTTTTAATCAGACGGGCTGCTCTGAGTATTTCAGAAACTGCTGATCTACTGGGATTTTCATGCACAACCATCTCTAGGGTTTACAGAGAATGCTCCAGAATACTCCAGGTCCAGAATGGGATATTTTCTTGGCACACTTTGGGTCCATTAGTACCAATTGAGCATCAACGCCACAGCCTACCTGAGTACTGCTGCTGACCATGTCCATCCCTTTATGAGCACAGTGTCTCCATCTTCTGATGGCTACTTCCAGCAGGATAACGCAGCATGTCATGAAGCTCAATCATCTCAGACTGGTTTCTTGAACATGACGATGAGTTCACTGTACTCAAATGGCCTCCACAGTTACCAGAGTTCAATCCAATAGAGCAGCTTTGGGATGTGGTGGAACGGGAGATTGGCATCATGGATGAGCAGCCGACAAATCTGCAGCAACTGTGTGATGCTATCATGACAATATGGAGCAAAATCTCTGAGGAATATTTCCAGTAGCTTGTTGAATCTGAAGGGTTAAGGCTGTTCTGAAGACAAAATGGGGTCCAACCCTGTACTAGTAAGGTGTACCTAATAAAGTGGCCGGTAAGTGTGATATATATATATAATTAGTAAACCTTAAGTATTTCAGCAGCTCAAAAGTGTTGAGTTTTTAATTAAATAAATGCCAATTAAACCATATTTTCCTCAGCATCATCATTTTTAATCCAGTAAAAATCAGATGAAAAAATGAGCAAATAATCAAAACAGAACCACACAATCAAGCGAGGAGGCTTTCAGTATTTTTTGGTCTGTTTTTATTTCTTCAACGTCGTCTAATATGAGACAGTAGAGTGAACATCTGTGTGGATAAATGCTGTTCTGAGAGAAAGTACATGAATAATAATAATAATAATAATAATTAATTAATGATAATTACAGTAATAAAACAGTCTGCGTTGGTATTGTTAGGAACAGAAGAAGAACGAATGTACATGGAAGGAGGCACGTGTCGCTGGCTCGCGTCCGTCCGTCCGGTTAAAAACACTGAGTTTTAGTAAAACGCGTGGAGTTTGTCTGGAGGGAAGACGCAGCTTCAGTTCGTGATTTGAGACGCTCTACAGGATGAATTTCCCCAGGAAGAAGCCGATAAAGATGGCGGCGATGACCACCAGCAGCGAGGGCAGGGAGCCAGACACAGAGTCACGGCCCACAGACGTGCTGCTGTTGCTGGACACATGATCAGTGCGTGGCTGGAGCCGCCGCAGCCGCAGTCCCTCATCCTGGACACAACAATAACAATATTAATATTAACAGCAACACTAATTACAACACCAGCAATAATAATATTAACAGCAACACTAATTATAACACCAGCAATAATTATATTAACAGCAACACTAATTATAACACCAGCAATATTAATATTAACAGCAACACTAATTATAACACCAGCAATAATTATATTAATATTAACAGCAATACTAATTATAACACCAGCACTAATAATATTAATATGAATAGTGGCAATAATATAATACAATATTATATAAAGCCCGAATAGCAGTAAAAGCAATAAAATATTTATATTAATAGCAATAATAACAATAACAATAATAACAACAATAACAATCATAACAACAATAATAATAACAATATTAATAACAACAACAACAACAACAATAATAATAACAATAACAATAATAATAACAACAACAATAATAATAATAACAACAACAACAATAATAATAACAATAACAATATTAATAACAATAGCAATAATAATAACAATAATAATAATAACAATAACAATAATTACAATAATAATAATAATAACAATAATAATAACAATAATAACAACAACAATAATAAAAATAATAATAACAATAATAATAATAACAGCAATAATAATAACAACAATAATAATAACAATAACAACAATAACAATAATAATATTAATAATAACAATAATATTAACAATAACAATAATAATAATAATAATAATAATAATAACAATAATAATAACAATAATAATAATAATAATAATAACAATAGTAATAATAATAGTAATAACAATAATGCCATTGTTACGCTGGTCTGTGTTTATTTATTTCAATCATTTATTTATTTATTTGCTGTGGTCGTGTGCTTTCTGCGCTTGTTTGAGTTGTAGGTGGAGTTTACAAACGGCTCTTCCGGATTGGATGACGACGATGACATCACTCTCTCGCTCTCAAGATGTCTGGCTTGCGGTGCTCTGCGAATGCCAGGATTAATCCGCATGGTGCTCTTTTCAGTGTAATGTGTTCGTTAACTTTTTGATTATCTTTTCTTAATCGGTTAACTATTTTTGCTTCGCTTGTTTATTTTGAGACTTTGTTTATTTTTGTAGCAGGTAGTGGATATTATTTTTCATAGTCACGTTTTGTTATTTATTTAGTTCAGCGGAGGAAAGCAGTGGTCTGGACCCCTGGTGGGCCGCAAGAGAGCGCTAGAGGGTCCGCGAAAAACTTGGCAGAAACAAAAAATTATTTCCGAGATATTTTTGCCAATCCTAAAATTAATGACTATAAATTATTAATCCATATACAGTTTTATAATTTATATAAGTGAATACTTAATTGTACAGATTGAACAGATTCTTAATAACTTAAAGTACATTTCACTGAGAGTTTTGTATGGCGACAGTAAAAAAAATTATATTAGAGCCATGACTGTGGGGAGTCGACAATAGCCTGTCTAAAACGAAAATATTTCTCTTATCAGAAAACAAACACATATCCAACAGTAGTGTTAGATTTCCACAAATACAAATGTGACAGTTATTGATCACTTTAGTAATGATGATCAGACCTGAAGCTGCACAGCGCTCAACTGGACAAAAACATGGAGCGCAAGCGATGAGTCCTCTGTCCGATTCTCATAAACACTACTGCTGACACACAACCGGGTTGAAATAGGTCTTAAGACACATATGTGTGCTGTGCTGTAACATATACACACCTTGAGCTGGCGGTTCTCGTCGTGCAGTTTGCTGAGCTCCGTCTGCAGGCGTTTGCAGTCCTCCAGGATCCTCCGCATCTCAGAGTCATCGTGAGCTCCAGACAGAGGCTTCACCGACAGCAGACCGTCCGCTTTAGAGGAGTTCAGGACGGGCACTTTACACGCAGAGTCCACCTCATTCTAGAGGACACACACACACACACCAGAGTAAACACTGAAGAATATTCCTTTACATGCAACAAAAATAACACCATGTGATCATTATATTATAAAACAATAGAAAAAACACACACACTCACATATCTGAGGTTCACACAGTAGAATATTCCTTTACCAGCAACAAAATCTAAACAACTAGTGATTACAACATCAGAAAGGTCCGACCCTTCCTATCTGAACATGCAGCTCAACTCCTTGTTCAAGCTCTTGTTCTCTCCAGACTGGACTATTGCAACTCTCTACTAGCCGGGCTCCCAGCTAACTCTATCAAGCCTCTTCAGCTGCTCCAGAACGCAGCAGCACGAGTGGTCTTCAATGAACCTAAACGAGCACATGTCACTCCGCTGCTCATCCGTTTGCACTGGCTGCCAGTTGCTCTGATGTTTGCTTACAAAGAGACTTCTGGCTTTGCTCCTTCTTATCTGCTCTCACTTCTGCAGATGTATGTGTCCTCCAGAAACTTGCGTTCTGTGAATGAACGTCGCCTCGTGGTTCATCCCAAAGAGGGAAGAAATCACTTTCCCGAACTCTCGCATTCAATCTGCCCAGTTGGTGGAATGAACTCCCTAACTGCATCAGAACGGCAGAGTCACTCGCTGTCTTCAAGAAACCACTAAAAACTCAACTATTTAGTCTCCACTTCCCTTCCTAATCTGCAATTGCCTCTCTGGCTCCACTGCTAACTACATAAAATAAATTGAAAGAAAAAAAAAAACTACTGATGTTTTGCTTCTTACACTTTACAGACCTGAAACTTGCCTACAGCACTTCTTCATTGTTGCTCTTATAGTTGTGTAAGTTGCTTCCTTGTCCTCATTTGTAAGTCGCTTTGGATAAAAGCGTCTGCTGAATGACTAAATGTAAATTATTATAGTTGAAAAAAGCAAGGAGCATATAAAATATAATAAATATGTGTTTGTAAAGCACCCTATAGAATTTGTGAGGGATGTACTCACAAATGCTGAGCACTATATAGTTGAAGTCAGAATTATTAGCCCCCCTTTGAATATTGTTTACTATATTTCTCGCTTATTTAAATACCTTCTGTCCGCTTGTGTTGATTTGTGTGTACCCTGGACTCCTGAACCCAAGTCAGTCTCTGTGTATTTGTGCACACTTGGCAAATAAAGCTCATTCTGATGCTGATTTCAAGGCTTTTCTGCAAACCTTTACATTTACATGTAGACACTAGACACATGCAGACATGTAGACACATTAAACACTAGAATTTGTTGATTTTACAATGTTATTTGCATTACAATTACTTCAATCTACTTTGGCCTAGCCTGAGGGTACAGCTAATAGCGGCGTTTCCACTGTCGTGCCTGAAGCGAGTGAGCTAGTGTGAGAGTAGCTATCACTTCCAGGGCCTGATCGGGCCAAAGTAGGGCTTCCTTGGGGCTGGTCTTTTTGGGAAAGCTGAATACCTTGGGCCAAAGTGAGCCAGCTAGGGTGTCAAGTAGGCTAGGGCGGTAGCCAAATTTTGATACCGTCAAACCTCCTCCCTATTTTACCCCGGTATCAGGTATTACCGTGCATAATAAAAAAACATGACGTAGGGCGACCTGAGGTTCGCGGTCACCTGTTTATCTTGTTTGTATTAGAGATCTGCGTTTGACACACACACAGAGAGAGCGAGAGAGACGCACAGCACCACACTCTCTCTCACACACACACACACACACAAACAGAGCGAGCGAGCAAGCGAGAGGGAGAGAGAGAGACGCACAGCACCACGCGCGCTTGCTCTCTCTCTCTCTCTCTCTCTCTCTGTGTGTGTGTGTGTGTGTGTGTGTGTGTGTGTGTGTTTCCGAATAAAGCGCAGGAGCGGTCAGTAACTTAAAAGGGAGCGGTCGCGCGGTCTTACAGTATCGCTTCCGAGCAAGCGAGCACGCGTGCATCCACGTGGATGCTGTCTGTGTGTGTGTGTGTGTGTCTCTCTCTCTCTCATTCATACACGCACACGCATACGCACACGCACACGCACACACGCACGCACACACGCACGCACGCACACACACACACACACGCACACGCACACGCACACACACACACACACACACACACAAACACACAGCAGGTGACTTGGTGCGTGACTCGAAATCTTCCCTCACCTCTCTCTCCTCCACACTGTCCCGTCATGACAATCACGCACTCATTTGTAGACATTAAATAAATAATATTTATTATTTAATGCTTGTCTCCTACTTTAGTGAATTGTTTTTAATGACTGTATTAGAACTGACACCGTTGCTATTTTTAGATCCCGCGGTATACCATATTACCGTATTACCGCCGAAGCCTAGCGTCAGGGTAGGGCTGTGCAATTAATCGAAAATCCCATTTCGATTATGGCTTCTAACGATTATCAAAAACCATTAATCGAGATAAACGATTATTGCATCATAAACCAAAAGCGCGAAAGATCACGTGCTTATGTGTGTGTGCATCTTAACATCAGCGCTTTAATGGTCAAATAGGTGTCAAAACATGGTGATTAGTGATTATTCATATCAACCCTCATTTGCGTATTAAAAAAATGAATTGAGAATCAAAAGACACGCGAAAGAGAAACCATTAAAGTGACAGTGCGAAATGCTGCCGCCTGTTTTATCATTAATCAAAAGACGAGAACATCCCTTACTGCTCCTGACTGAAGGATTTTTGTAGCTGAAGTGTTTTTCTTAGGGTGAAGATGCTTAAAGCACAGTTTGTTTCATATTTTTATTCTACTGTATTTATTTCTCTTTCCTTAGCAGGGTGGAAATAACTGTATATATACAGTTGAAGTCAGAATTATTAGCCCTCCTGAATATTAGCAACCCTTTTCCCCCAATTTCTGTTTAATGGAAAGAAGTTTTTTTTCTGAACATAATAGTTTTGATATCTCATGTCTAATTACTGATTTGTTTTATCTTTGCTATGATGACAGTACATAACATTTTACTAGATGTTTTTCAAAATACAAGCATTCAGATTAAAGTGCAATTCAAAGGCTTAATTACAGTAATTAGGCAAGGCATTGTATAACAGTAGTTTCTTCTGCAGACAATCAAACATATATAGCTTAAGGGGGATAATAATATTGACCTTAAAATGGGTTTCAAAATATTTAAACCTGCTTTAATTCTAGCAAAAATAAAACAAATAAGACTTTCTCCAGAAGAAAAAAAATATTAGAGAAAATACTTTTAAAATTTCTTGCTCTGTTTAACATAATTTGGGAAATATTTATTAAAAAAAAAACTAAATTCTCAGGAGCGCTGATTATTTTGACTTCAACTGATGATCGTTTTGAATAATCGTGATTACAATTATGACCAAAATAATCGTGATTATGATTTTTTCCAAAATCGAGCAGCCCTACGTCAGGGCGAAGTGAAAGCAGAGGCAGAGTTTGGTAAAGTCTGGTAAAGATGGTGTGCCGCCATTACACTAGTTTTCTGATCACGCACAAGTACATGTACCAAAACATAAATAAATAAGGGGGGGAAGCTACTGGTCAATTAAAAATATTCCATAAAACACCTCATAGGCTAGGGGTCATTCTGCTTATGATCGCCTTTATGTATTCTTTGAAATGCAAGGCTGTTGCATAACATAATAAAGCAGATTTAATTTATAAGTGATATTTCTTTGTGCACAGGTTGTGTGACGTTTGCTTTGTGGGGGTGTTCTGGGATGAGGTTTACGTGTTGCACGGCAGGTCATTAGCCTGGCAGTGGAAACGCCCACTGCTCAAGCTCCTGTGCTATTGGCCCGGCCCAATAAGAGCTCTGGCTCACACTGGCCCGACAGTGGAACTGCGGCTATTGATTGAGCAGGAAATGATGCACATCTTGATGACATCACCTGTCTGACAGAGCACTGTGGGTAAAACACGCCAACATCTTAAGTGATTCAGTTCAGTCCTTTCCATCATTACAGCGGCGCTCAGTGTTTGTTTATGGATGTGCTCTGTCCTGCTGACCTCTGACCTACCCTCCTGAAGGCTCTGCTGTCCTGCCTGCTCTGACTCTCACATTGCTGACCTCTGACCTCTGTGATCTCTGACCCTGAGCTCCTGCTGCTGACCCCAGGAGGAAACGGAGGACGTCTGAAGAGCCGAGCGGCAGACATCCAGTTCTCCAAATACTGCACACCAAGCGGAGCAGCAACAAACAGGAAGTAACATCAGCAGTGTGTCTGTCTGACAGCAGGTGTATACCTTCTAGCAACTGCTAAGGCAGGTCGCATGAAGAGATACAGCTGCAGCCGGACGTTAATGAGAACTATTTTTATTAGATATTAAATTAAAAAATAACTCTTTTATTAGTCTAACACTAAAACTGTTTAAATTATTCAGTAAATGAGCCATTAATTGTATTTCGTTAATGTTAACAGTAATGATATGATGAAAAAATATTCATGTTATTTATTAAATTATCCATTAATTTGTAATTTATTAATGTCCTTCCATACCACAACCCTAAACCCAACCCTCACAGTAATGTAAAAACAGACATTACTACAAGAATATTCATATTATTTTATTAAATTACCCATTAATTGTAATGTATTAATGTATATCCCCACCCCAACTCTACACCCAACCCTCACAGTAATGTAAAAGCATTAATAATACAAGAATATTCATGCTATTTTATTAAATTACCCATTAATTGTAATTTATTAATGTCTATCCCCACCCCAACCATAAACTCAACCCCTTACAGTAATGTAGAAACAGTAATTATGACTAGGATATTCATATTATTTTCTTAAATTACCCATTAAATGTATTTTATTAATGTCTATCCCCACCCCAACCATAAACTCAACCCTCACAGTAATATAAAAATAGAAATGATGTTGAGAATATTCATATTATTTTCTTAAATTACCCAATAATTGTATTTTATTAATGTCTATCCCCACCCCAACCATAAACTCAACCCGGACAGTAATGTAAAAATAGAAATGATGTTGAGAATATTCATATTATTTTCTTAAATTACCTAATAATTGTAGTTTATTAACATCTTCCCCTACCCCAACCCTAAACCTAACCGTCACAATAATGTTAAAACAGAAATTATGATGCCATACTGATTAATATTTTTTAATTATATGTAATTGCATATTTATATTGAATGTAAACTATTAGCACTCCTCTGAAACTTTAACTATTTTTCACGTTTTCCAAACCATGTTAAACAATGTGCGACAATGTTAGACAATGACTTGCCTTATTAACCTAGTAAAGCCAGTAAACGTCACTTTGAAGGTGCTGTATTTAAGTTTTTCTCTTCTAAAGCATAAAAATTCCATAATATATGTGCAAATATTTCAGAAACATGCAGAAAAACACTGCTTAAGTCAGATATTCAGCTTTGAACGTGCGTTACTTGCTGGAACGGCTGTCTTTGTTTTGATTATTTATTTAACCCGCCCAATGCCAGTTCAGCCAATTATATTTAAATATAAATATAGTGTACTGTTAGTTTGTTGGATCATGTCGCCTTTGCTTTTGCCTTCAGTAATTTTATGTAAAGAATTGTAATGTGTATATGCATTTATTATATTTTCAATGTTTAAGCCCCCTGTGGACAGGTGTTGAGAATTAGCAAGTATGCTAAAACACTTAAACAAATGCATTTGGTTGTCCAGTGTAAATGTGATGTCCATGTCGAATAAATAAATAATTTCAGCACTCCGGGTTGCCAGATGGTGGAAAACAGCCTATTTCATTCATTCAGTCATGAAGACTCTCAAAACATGCGTCCGTGAACAAAATGTGACCTCTGGTGGACAGTAGCAGACTCCGAAATGAGACGCAGATTCAGAGTTTCACATGAGGTTATTAATTAGCAAATAATATAAATATTGCGAATGTAAACATTAGGTGAGCAGGTCACAATGTAAACTCGTGTCCTAAAAACACGCTACATGATGAGATACGCAGAGATGAGCAGTATGACTGTTTACAGCAGACGAAACACAATAGAAATGTAAACACAGCCATTCAGAAGCACAGAATAGTGCACTCACTGCACTCCAGCACAATGGTCAGCTTTATAATCTAATAAATACACATTAAACCTCACAGTTCAATATCAGACTTTTTATTTTTCAGATCTGAGCTGAACTATCTGCTGCTGCTTTCAGTAGTATGGCAATGCATGTCCTGTAAAATGCCATTCAGACTCACATTATGAGCACTGAACACTGAATTAAGCACATGAGCTGTACCTGAGCTGGTCATTGTCAGTTTTCTGCTGTTCAGCTGTGAGAAATAGAAGCCGTTTCTAATATATTAATTCGAGGTGTTGGTCAGGACAAAAACTCCTTTTAATATGGAAGATATTTCTTCTATCACAGTCACGGAGGGTCGCGGAGTGTGTGGTCAAAATAACAACAAAAGTTTAATTTAACTTATTTTGACTTATTTTTGCCGTTTGACATGTGAAATTTCATTTAATTATAGCAAAAGATATGTCAAAGCCAGCCTGATCTCACGAGGAAACGTAAGTATTTTACGTTTTGCTAGTTTAGTGGCTTATTCCTACGAATTTGTACCAGTTCTGTCGTACAAAATGGTACGATTTTAAAAGGAGGCGTGGCACCTAACCCCAACCGTCATTGGGGAATGAGCAAGTCGTACTAAATTGTACGAATTAGATCATACGAATTCATACGAATTAGCCACTAAATGAAAAAGTTATGAATTGCCGTGAGATTGTGTTGGTCAAAGCGCAAGTATGACCCCGAATATGTAAAGCATGGATTTACATATATTGATGGCAAAAAAGACTTAAAGCCTCAGTGTGTCATAAGAAGCTAGGTGCTCTCACAAGAGAGCACGAAATCGTCTAAATTAAAAGGACATTTAGAAACCAGACAATATGTTTTATTAACAGTTTAGTGCATGGTAACGGAACCTATCCTTACCCTAACCACTGTTTACAGTATTTGTCATTTTTACTCTGTATTATTTCTATAATTTGATACATTTTGTTAAATGACAGCAGTAAAATAGTGTTTATTTGTAAGTCTTTTTATCTGTCACTACTTGTGTATGTTAACAAATAAATACAAACTAATTATAATTCCAAAAATTGTATTATAGTTCCTAAAAATTTGGGCCATGGCTTGATGACAAGGTAAAAATGTAGGTCTCATGGCCAAACCAGTTGAGAACCCCTGTTCTATCGCATATTGCTGCTTTTAGTCAGAACTTGACCTAAATCAGCGAGAAATCAGCCTTTAGGCTCGACAGTAAGGCACACTGCTGTTAGTGTCATCAATCTGGCAACCTGCGCTTGCTTGTGTTTTCATCCAGGAATGCAATACCTGGTTTAACCAATGGGTGTCAAACTTACAGACTACCCCTTTAAGCTGCACTAGTATGCTGGAAAAAATCTAGTCAAATATTATGTGCTGTCATCATTGCAAAATCATGAGTTATTAAAACTATTGCGGTTAAAAAAGCACAGAAAAATATGTGTCTGACCAGATGAAACATAATTTGAACATAACAGACAACTTGTAGCTCTGTGTCAATGCTGATGGAGGCGTTTCTGACACACACACGCACGCACGCACGCACACACACACACACGCACAGGGTGGAGTGAGCTGCAGTACTCACCACTTTATCGTTTTCAGACGGCAGCTCAAACACACATCTGAGTTTGGAATCCATGAGCTCATCGGGTTTCGCGTCTTTCCACTGAAACACACGGGAAACGGGCAATTGATCACACACAACCACTAGCAGATGGCACACACACACACAAGTACAAACTCCCATATATACAGTACATGCATACATACACATGCACGCACACACACACACACACTGACATACACACAGACACAAAACTCACATAGATATGTGTGAGTGTACGTGTGTGAGAGGCTATATACATACATACATACATGCATGCATATATACACACACACACACACAAACACACACACCCACAGTGTACACTATCATGTCTTGGTTACATACACAGCTCAGCACTGTGATGTCTTGATGTGAGCAGCGTTATTCATACAGTGCTCAGCATAATTGAGCACATCTCCTTTTGAAGATGAACGTGTTCCTCCATTTCTCAGTGAGTATAGGCAGTGTGTTTTGGTGCATTTAAACAAAGCAGATTTATTAAACAGATTTATTTATTACAATAATACTTGTCACCAAGCATATGGAGAAATTGGAAGATAAAACTATTAAAGTCAAGCAAAATATCGCAAAAAAAAAACAATTACAACCTACAAAATTTCAACTCAATTTTTACATTCTTTTGCTTCTCATAATTTTTCCTTTTTTTAACATTTGTTTTTAATATTTTCTCTAACAAATAAATGTGGCTGTACTAGCGTTTTGAGCATTATCGTTAGTTATTTTGTTAGATAAGCTCCAGATTTGGCTTCAGTACTGACCAATCTAATGTATATGCACAATCAGCCCAAGACCGGTTACTCACTGAAGCTAAGCAGGGCTGAGCCTGGTCAGTACCTGGATGGGAGACCACTAGGGAACACTAGGTTGCTGTTGGAAGTGGTGTTAGTGAGGCCAGCAGGGGGCGCTCAACCTGCGGTCTGCGTGAGTCCTAATGCCCCAGTATAGTGAAGGGGACACTATACTGTCAGTGGGGGCCGTCTTTCGGATGAGACGTTAAACCGAGGTCTTGACTCTCTGTGGTCATTAAAAATCCCATGGCACTTCTCGTGAAAGAGCAGGGGTGTAACCCCGGTGTCCTGGCCAAAGTCCCTCTATCGGCCCTTACGATCATGGCCTCCCAATCATCCCTTCTCCACCGAATTGGCTCTATCACTGTCCCTCCTCTCCACCAATAGCTGGTGTGTGGTGAGCGCACTGGCGCCGTTGTCCTGTGGCAGCCGTCGCATCATCCAAGTGGATGCTGCACACTGGTGGTGGTGTGGGTAGACCCCCCCTCATGATTGTGAAGCGCTTTGGGTGTATTGCCATACACAATAAATGCACTATATAAATACACACATTACATTACATTACAATTATAATATTGCAGAGCTTCCTATTAACAATATGAATTTAAAAGAGAGATGTGTGAGGGGTGTACTTATATACGCTGAGCACTGTATGTTTATTTTTAATAGAAATATGCAATATTGAAATGTGGATTTTTCCAGTACTGTGCATCTCCTGCATGAGGGAAACTCCAGCTCATTTCATTAAAACACTTTCTACAATTCTACACCAAAACAGTGGTCCTCAATTCCAGTCCTCAGCCCCCCCCCCTGCACATTTTATCCGTCTCTCTTATCTGACACAAGTGGACTAATTCATGGATGAGAATCAGGTGTGTTAGGTAAGGAATGCACAGGGTAGGGGGCCGAGGACCAGAAATGACAACCACTGCACTAAAATAATGAGTCTGATTGGATTTTGACAGACTGCAGATTTCATTCACTGTACACTTACTGTATTACTCCCAATCAACTCAGAGCTGATGGAGGAGCACTGCATTAAACACACACTGAGAGAAAACTGTGTGTCTGCTGCCCTCTGCTGCTCTCAACGTGGAAATACAGCACTGAACAACAGATGAACACACACTGACATACACATACACTCATGCGCACACACGCATGCACATGCTCCCACATACACACTCTCACACACATATACACACATGGTCTCTCACGTACTCCAATAGTATCTGGATGCAGCCTTTATGATGCAAGCTGAGATTGCATCACTCAGCGATGCAATCTCAGACACAATGCACTTAATGGAGTGAGTGACGTCACTGTGATGGGTAGGGTTAGGGGTGGGGTTAGGTGCGTGCATTAAAAAGCATTGGATGCAGCTCAGATTGCACTGCACCAGGTCTGCATCCAAACCCCTCTCACACACGCACACATACGCGCACACATACGCAAACACACACACGCACACACACGCGCACACACGCGCACACACACGCGTACACACACGCGTACACACACGCGTACACACACGCGTACACACACACACGCACACACGCACACACACGCACTCTCACACACACGCACGCACACGCACACACGCACTCTCACATACAGACACTTCCACACACACGCCCGTGCACTCACATACACACTTCCACACACACGCGCGCACTCACACATACACACACTTCCACACACAAACTCTCTTAAGCCGCCTTTTCACTGCACACGACATTTGGACACGACTGTCGGAATACGCACCCTTGTGGCAGTCGCACAGTATTTTCAGTGTTGTCGTGCACCATAGGGGAGAAGCTGATTCTCACGGTGTCCAAAATAAAGAAGGGCAATAGCAAGAGCCTTTATTCTCGGTGTGTTTACATGGTTTAATGGATGAATGAATACTAGAAACTCGTAGAAATATTGGAGGGAATGTGGAGACAACATTAAAAATATATATTTTTATTACTTTCTTACTTGCATTTATGAACAGAAAAGGTTTTTTCTTTAATAAAGACTTTTTATAATTCAAAAAATAACCAAATAAAATACTATTTCTCATCTTGTGTGCACGGATCTGCTTGGACAACACTGAAATACATCATATCCGGTCGGCAGATCGCTTACGGTCTAGCCGCAGGAGTTCAAATATTTCAACGGATCCGCAGCTCAATTTGGACCCAAATTTTCCACATACGAAGATGATTGGAACTCAACGCAGCTCCCGGACTGCCGCTTGTCGTTTGTGGTGGAAAGGAGGCTTTACTCACAGACTCTCACACACACACACACACACACATTCTCTGACACACACACAGGTCTCTCACCATGGCTTCTGTGTCTGAGACTGCCGGCGGGGCGAAGATGGTCTGTACCATGAACTTGTGTTTGCTTTTCTCATTGGGGTCGTAATCAAACGGTTGCAGCATAACTGTGACAAAAACACAAACATCAACACACACACACACACACACACACATTTATAGATAAACTCTAAAATTCAGAGTCAAAATTACTTCAAAACTCCTCATCTTTTGTTCTCAGGTCATTGAATATTAAAAATAATAATAAGCAATATTTAAAACAATCTGAAAACAAAAACAAGTAAATAAATCAGATTATTAAATAAAGTGAAGAAGAATCTCATCATGAAAACAAGACAGTAGAATAAAAAAGGTAAAAAAAAATATATATATATATTAAGAAAGTCCGAGGCCATGTTGCTCCACCGGAAAAAGGTGGTTTGCCATCTCCAGGATGGAGGAAGTCCTTACCCCAGGTGGAGGAGTTATAGTATCCTGGGGTTTTGTTCAGGAGTGAGGGAAGGATGTAACGTGAGATTGACAGGCGGATTAGTGCAGCGGCAGCAGTAATGCAGATAATATATCGGTCCGTTGTGGTGAAGAAGGAGCTGAGCCGAAAGGCAAAGCTCTTGATTTACTGGTCAATCTATGGTCCTACTCTCACCTATGCTCATGAGCTTTGGGTCAAGACTGAAAGGACAAGATCTCAGATACAAGTGGCTGAAATGAGTCTCCTTCACAGAGTGAAGTATCTTGTTTGTTGCAAAATATCTTGTTTGTTGCAAGGGACATGAATGAATTCCCTGAATGAAAGAGCCAAACTGCAGTTAAAGTCCACCATTTATTCAATTCAATTCAGCTGTATTTGTACAGCGCTTTTACAATGTAGATTGTGTCAAAGCAGCTTCACATAAATGGTCATAGTAACTGGAACAGTGTGGTTCAGGTTTTAGTGTTTAAGTTCAGTTCAGTTCAGTTTAGCTCAGTTCAGTGTGATTTAATCATTACTGAGAGTTCAAACACTGAAGAGCAAATTCATCGATGCGTAGCTCTACCAATCCTGAACCATGCGAGGCAGTGGCGACAGTGGAGAGGGAAAAAAAAACTTCACCTGATGGGAGTGAAGAAAAAAAACCTTGAGAGAACCAGACTCAGTTGGGCACGACCATTTTAATTTCTCCGCTGGCCAAAAGTCTTGTACAGAGCTTCAGTCACCGTGGTGGAGGCTGGAAGATGGCCTCAGCGAAGACTCGTCTGTCCCTTTAATAATTTGGCAAATAATTCGACTACAGATGTCCATGTAAACACCATCACTTTCTTCCCTGTGTGTGTGTATATTTTAATTCTGAAACTCGCGCGTGCCCAAATAGACACTCCCACACCCTCCCACTTTAGTTCCTCCGACACTCCCCCCTAAACAGAGCTGGACACGCCCACTTTTCTGACTTTTTCCAAAGTAGAGGTGTGAAAACACCCTGGTGAAACGAGGGGGTTTCATGGCCCTTTAATGATTTGCCTACATTTTGTTCAATCTGCCAGATTCAACTTTATGCAGACGATACAGTTATTTATTTCTCCCACTCTGATATTTCATATGTTCAATCTTCCTTGCAGTTAGATTTCACTTTAATTTAGGAATGGTTCAATAAAAACAAACTTATACTAAATAAAAAGAAGTCTCGTAGCATGGAGTTTTAAAAAAATCTCAGCGGTTTCTCTCAGTAGACATAAACATTAGATTCGATGACGGGTCACAGTTGTCTAACGTCAGTGAATATAAATATCTAGGCCTTTGGCTCGATACTGAACTGTCCTTTAAACCCCATATTGATTGTATAATTAAAAGTCATATCGGTGCTTAGGTTCTCTATTAATTGTTTTTCATTTAAAGTTAGAAAAAAATTGATCTCAATTAATTTTTCCTATTATTGATTACGCTGATATTATCTATAACAATACCTCTGAAATCAGTTTAAAACCTTTAAATACTGTCTTCAATTCTCTGTGTCGATTTGTATTAAGATGTCCTTATAGAACCCATCATGTATATTATACGAAACACTTGGTTTGCTTCAACCTAAGTTCCGCAGACAGCATCATTGGTATTTGTTTCTTTTTAAATGTGTTTACTTTAATTTCCCTTCTTATTTTGTTCCATTTACATCATCATATTCGCTTCGTCATGTGCAACAGAATTATTTTTTTGTTCCCAGAATTTCTACAGAAAGTGGCCGCAGGTTCGCGGGCACGGATGTTATTAATATTGGCTCCTAATTAAATGTTTATTATTTATTTGCATATCAAATTGTTTGTACTTTTGATTATATGTTATTGCTTATTTAGGCTTCAGATTGTGGGCAGTGTTTCAGGTGGAGTGTGCTGCTTGTTTAATTGTTTGTCTTGTCAAGTGTATGTACTTTATCATGTGTTGTACTCTGTTTGATTTGTGAACTTTTTAGGGACCCCCTCGAAAATGAAAGGTGCTATCCCATTCAATAAATTCAAGTTCAGGAGTAAATGTCGTAGATTAGGAATGAATAAATTGTGAATGAACTGATGAATGACTAGCCTGAGATGGTGAGCGTGGCTCCTGGGTCGATGATGCCGCTGTTGGGTCGTACGCAGTATCTGCGCGGCGCTGTCGTCTTCACTTTGAAACATACTTTCCTCTCTGACGGATTCTTGAGCTTCAGGTTCGCAGTGACCACATCTGTGAAAGGAC